TCTTTTTTGGGGGCAAGAATATCTTTTCATTTTTTATAACAGTACAATTATTATATTACTTTTAAAAAGTTAACAATAACCTTTGTTCCATGAGTTATATAGTAAATTTTATTTTTTTAATTAATAATTAAATTATTTTATTATCCTTACCATTAAGACTTGTTAGCCTTACTTTAGGAGTTTGATTATTGTTGTTGTTTGGTCCTAGGAACATTTTTGCTTTTTTTACAAATTAGCAAATAGTATAATCACTTTATTACCCTTGACATTTAGATTTTTTAACTAGTATTTCAAAGGTTTGGTTGTAATTTCATAATGGTTTTTTTGTTATTATTGTTTAATATTAGGGGTATTTTTTATTTTGTACAAATAAAAGAGATAAAAAAAGAGAAAGTTGTTGACGCGTGCGTTGCACGAGTTAACTACTCCGCCGCCTTCGTTTTAATCATGATTATGCCGCATCATTTAATTTATTTCAGCGTTATGTTCTTTTCTAGGTAGCACATATATAGTAATTGGATTTGATTTGATAGCAATTCACTTTTATTTTTATTTCTCTGATTACGTATTGACCATGTAAAACATTATGTTGCCCTTTAACTTCTTGGCAATTCACTTTTATTTTTATTTTTATTTCTCTGATTACGTGTTGACCACGTAAAACATTATGTTGCCCTTTAACTTCTTTTTTCTTTTGATTCATTCCTTCTTCTCTTAATTGAAATTTTTTTATTAACATTGATTGTTTTTAATTGGATTTTATTTTTGATTTCATATTTGGTGGTTTGATTTTTCTATTTTTCTATTAAATTTAGTCCTTATTTTTTTAATTATTATTTTTTGATCTTTTTTTTTATTGATTTCTTTTCAATTTCATCCCTATAAATTTATTTTTATGTCAATTTTGGTTCCAATTCTTTTAATTGCTTTTTTTTATTATTTTCTTAATTGATTTGTTTTTTTTTTCAATTCCATCCCTAAACATTAAATTTCATTTATTTTTCATATCAAATTTAGTCATGTATAATTCTTTTAATTATTATTTATTTTGTTTTACATTGTTTTACTATTGATTTTTTTCCTTCTTAATTTTATCATTTAATATTTATTTGATTAAGAATCCTACTTCTTTGTTTTTTCAGGTTTACTTCTAACGAGGCCACCTTAGTCTCATGACCTGGGTCACAGATCTAAAAGATCAACCTAAGTTAATTTTAATATAATTATTTTTTTTAAATATTTTTTTGCCATAATTTTTTTTAGGTTCCTGTTTATAGGGTCATCCCAATTAAATGTTCTAAATCATATATTTGATTTATTGACAAGGGTTGTTAGGTTTGCTTGAGACTCATATTTTTTTAATCTTTTTTTATATATTTTCATTGTATCTTTTGATTTTTTTTATCGTCTATGGTTCATTAAAAAAAAACCCTCTAAATGAATGACTATTTCCCTCAACGTGGCCAAAAGTATTCCACCTTTTTTTCGCATATAATTTGATTTTTTTCTTCAAAAAGGATCTGTTAGAGGTGTAAGTGACGGTAAATGCTTTGATTCTTTCTCCTTTTCCTTTGTGATATGGCTTAGTTCAAAGAATTAGCAAGCAAAAACACTTTATTTTATTGATATATTGAATGAATTTAAGGGTTTTGATTGATTTACATTACTTGTATTGAGTAATATTGTATATCATATGTCTCAAGTTTTTGCCTCTAGCTTTTTGAAAAACTAATATATAAAAATCTAATTATTGTATTTGAGCATATATTTTTAGGTTTAGTCTCACCATAAATGCGACAGGGATTCATATAAAAGTGTGAGTATAAAAAAATGATGCTCTAACTATATAAAAATAAATAAAACTAAAAATACATTATGGAGCAAGATTCATTATAGTGTTTAAAGATGTTTTTTTAACATTCAAAATACAAGTAAACGAATAACAAATCAAGGGGCAATTTTTTTTTTCATGGAGTTTAATTGGTATTATCATATTCAATAAAGATGAATTGGTTTTTTTATATTTTTTTTCTTTGCAAAATAAAATTATTAATTTACCATTTAAATAAAAAAAATATTGGAGACAAGAGGTGTTTTGGCTTTTTATCTTTTTTTTTTCACAATATAATTACTTAATTACTCTTGACGTTTTATTTCCTTGAACTTATTTTTAAGGATGTTTTTGTCATTTTATTATGATTTTTTTTTTGTAATTATCAAATATACTCAGGGGTAATTACATCTTTTTACATACATAAAAGATATTTAAAAATAAAAATTGGTTGGTGTGTGTAATATATGCACTAAAAAATGAGAAGAGCATGTGCCTTTCATGAGGATTTCTCTACTGACCATACACCACCTTTCACGGTGGAGTTGAAAGCGGAGCACCGAGGGTTGTTAGTGGTTGGGTTTATGTTAGGGATAGACTGATAACGTGGCTCCGATAGACTTTTTCTCTTTTTCTTTCTCTTTTATGTCTCTTTTTCATGGTAAAATACAAAAGCTCTCTCTCTCTCTCTCTCTTTCTATACATAATTCTATTGTTATTCTTTTAATTGTTATTTTATACATGATTCTATTGTTATTCTTTTAATTGTTATTTATTTTATTTTTTTATATGTATTTTGTAAATTAATTTTTTTCTTCAATTTATCCCTCATAACTTGATTTCATTTAATTTTTATATCAAGTTTAGTTCTCATTTTTTTAATTATAATTTATTTTTTTATAATTTTTATAATTGAATTTTAATTTTAATTAAATCCCTCAACATTTGATTTTGATTTATTTTATGTCAAACTTGGTTCCCTTTCTTTTTAGTACTATTTATTTTGTTTTATTGTTTTTTTTCTCAATTTCATCCTTCATTGTTTTATGATTGAAAATTTTACTTAGTTATTATTTTTTTTTGTTTTACATTATGTGGGGTTAGTCTTGGGTTCATGATCAAGATCGTGAGTTTAGAATATTAACATAGATTGACTTCAGTTGTTTTTAAAAGTCTCAATTAAATTTGACATTTTCTAATCTCATTATTCAATATTTAATTTATTATTAATTATTTTTCATGTTTTTTTATTTTTTTATAGAATTATCTCAATTTTATACTTATAATTATAGGGTTAGTGAAATAACTTGTGTTAACTCAAATATTTTTTTATGTTATTAAAATTATATAAATTTATTGAACTCAATTAAATCAATAAACCAAATCTTTGTATATTTGAAAATTTTTACGTCACCTCAACATTTATTTTATACTGTGAAGAAAAAAAGAAGAGTTATCCTAGACATAGCATGGGACACCTATCATGCACTAAACTATACAATACGCACGCCAAATATGTGGCTTACATCAAATAAAAAAATCATTGGGATTAACAACAGATTAATCACTAATTTATAAACCACTTCTCAATTCGATTCCCGGGTCATATTTTACTCTTCTGTTAGATCCCCTGTTAAATTTATAAATGTTTCACATTGAAATCACCGACCTCAAGCAATAAAACAATAATTTTTTAAGATAACTTGAAGTTTTTTTAATAAAAAAATTACCATGATTTTATATTAAAGTACTTCTATTTAGTATCTTTTAAAAGATTAGAAATCCAACTGATTAAAAATATAATTTAAGGACTCAAATGAAAAAAAAGAAGCAATAAGTTGGGAGTGGTATGAATTATAATTATTAAACCTAGTCTAATTAATTGGATGATTTAGCTATTGCAGTAAGCCTGATTTTAGAAAAAGATAATTTGGAGTCAACTCTCGGTTTAACCTGGTTTATTAAATTAAAATTCAATTTTTTTTTTAAATCTTTAAATTAATGTTTTTATTCTTTTAAAATAATTTTATTTTAAATTGAACTACGTGCATGACCAATTAGAGTAAACTTCCACGTGCATTAACATTTAGAGTTTATTTGACTTTTGTTGTGTTGTGTTGTAAAATTAAACTTACCAGATTATTTTTAATGAATTGTTATGATATACTATTAGTAAAATAAACACTCATCTATAAGCATCACTTTCTGGCTTTTGAAATGAAGAACTCATATACTTTTAAATTGTTTTTTAAAACACTCCTTCATCATAAAAATCACATTTATTCTAATTTTTTAAATTTTAATCAAATATATCTCTAATGTTCTTCTTTAAATCAAAGCAAAGGAGTCAAACAAAGTCTTGTTATTGTCAGTCTCTTGACACGCTGTGATAAGTGGTGGCCAAAGTTGTAGCGTATTTGGATTTTTTTTATCATCCACGGTCGATGGTGAGTCTTGGCTTTATCGACGCCTGGTCTGATTAATTGACTAGAGTTGCAACGTGGACCAATAAAAGCAGATAGAGTCCGGCAATAGCTAAAAGCTAAGAGAAAGTCTCGAGCGAGATTGGAAAAAATATACCAGACTCGAATGGCTTCACGACAATAAAATTCACCTAAATTCTATTTTAAAATAAAAAAAATACTCAATTATCCATTATCTATTCTATTCAACCTATTTAACTTTAATTAATACGTTTTAACTATCATTAATTCTATAAAAAATAATTTTCTTTAAATTTTCAACTTAACAATGAAATTAACAAGATATAATTAATAATCATTAAATTTCTCATTATTACTTCAACTACAGCACATCTAAATTACAAGATTAAATACAAAATGCTGTAAATTATAGCACATCTAATTTATATGCTGAAATATAAACTAAGCAAATCTCATTTATGCTAGACCTGGGCTTAAATTAATTAGAAAAATAAAAATTATAAACTAAATAGAAAGAATAAAAACACCATAATTTTTTCAAAAAGTAACAAATAAATACAAACACATATTTTCTCCTGAAAATCCTGCAGCATCATATATTTTTGGAAATTGTACTTTCGACTTATAAATGGAATTATCTTTCTCCGTACAAATTATTATTATTTTTTATGTGGTAAGTCTCCGTACAAATTATTCACTAAACTGAGTAGTGGCTTTTTCTGATCCTCAACAGTCAAAAAAAGCTTGAAACAAGTTGTATGGTGGTCGTGTGTTCAACGGTAAAGCCAAAAAGGGGAAACTTGACTGCAGAAGTATCTATCTGTCTCCTTTCGATCTCTAGCAATCGCGCAGTTCAACGAAGGTTTCGCGCGGCTTGTCGACATCAGTACTTTTATATAAATTCTCAGATTCTCGAAAATGATATTTCTTTCACTAGACTTGTTCTTTACTGCTACGAATCTCCTTGTTTCTTCATCAACTGATCGTCGATGGACCGTAAAACTTTGTCTGCGACCTTGAAGGATGCTAATAGTAAGTACATAGAAGATTAATATTGTTGCTTATTTTCTACATTTATTTCTTTTTTTATTTTTTCGCGTTGGTACTTGTTGTTTCTTGTTCAGTCCAGATCTGAGATATTTCAAGCTCAACTTGAGCCTGCAACTTCAAACTACGTCTGTTTTATTGAGATTATTCCCAACTTTATGCCCTAGTTTGTACCTGTCCCTTCGTGGCAAAGTGATATTTTTAGTGCAAAGAGGATCGAATGGTTTGTCATAATTAGATTCTTTTTTTTTTTCCCGGGAGAAGGTCCTAAATTTTTATTACAACTGAAGAGTTTGATGTGAAGATAAAACTTAGCGATTGATCAAATATGGAAATACGATAAACGTAGTAAAACATCACTCAATTCTTCTTTCTCTTTCCATAGAACCACAAGTTACTAGTTGGCTGATAAAAAAGGATGTTGGGTCTGTACAATTACAACATGGATTAAGCTGATCACTACTGTAAGATTGAAGAATTAACTTGGCCTCCTCCTTTATGGGCAAATAGAGGTTGAATCCCTTGAAGGGATTTGAACCCCCATCCTTCTCCTTGATTGGGGGAGGTTGGTATTAGCCCACCTAAAAGCCCATTGGTTGAGAGGTGGATAATTGCATTATTATGCTTAATGTGCGCTCTTTATTTATTTATTTTTATTAATATTCTAGTTAATTTTCAAGGGATTCAATCCCGTCTCTCTTTTATGCGTTGAGATTAGTTTTGTTTCTCTGTGGCTTTTTGATGGTAGCTATTGATGTCTATGGCATTCAAGTTCCTCATATATTGTCTTGATACTCTCTTCATTCAAGTTCCTCATGCATCTGTCTATTATTATTTTACTGTTATTATTATTTGTGTCTTTGTTATTCTTTTCTGTTCCTTACTCAAATCGTTTTCCAGATCAGAAAGTGAAAAAGAGAAAAAACAGAGAGCGTACGAAATGTGCAAAGGTAAACAACAAATGTTCATATTAATCAAAGCTCTTGATTGAGGAGCAAAAGCACCTCCTTTTTTTCCCTTGCTTTCATGATACTTTGATTTGACAGAAAACGAAGATGACTCAGCATTCCTTAAGTGCTATTGGTGAGGAAATTAAGGAGACCGAGCATGAAAATGATTCCATGCTTCAGATGCTGCAACGAAAGCAGCTTGAGATCAAACAGCAGAAAGCTGACTTCTGTGATTCGCAAAACAAAATAATCACTGCACATGAAAACTGTGTAGGTGCATTTTTGCAAGAGCCATTATTCCAATACCTCATGGTGAGTTTCTCTCCGTCTTCCTTTTAATTTCTCCACTTATTTTGTTAAGTAGAGAACAATGTGCTTTAGAATATGTGGAGTAAATGGAATTTTAGACAGATGAAGTTTAATTGTGGTGAAAATGTGCTTTAGCACTTGCTTTATCTTCCCCGTAATCTAGTTATAATTAAGATGCTTAATTACTGGTTTTGAAGATATTGGACTACTTTTGTAAAGTGGAAGGATTTTTGTTGGTGTATAGTATTAGAAAATAAAATAAATCATATTTTAGAATCTTATCTAATAGCTTAAATTTTTAGATTGAAATGATTCTTTAACATGGTATCAGAGTTTTGTTGATCAAGTAGTCACGAGTTCGAATTTTACTACCTCTATTTTATTTGATAAAAATTAAGCATAAGATAACGTGAGTTTGTGTAAGTTTTAAACCCAAAAGATTTTCATTTAAGGGGGTGTGTTATAAAACAATATAAATCATATTTTGAGACCTCATTTAATAATTTAAGTTTTTAAATTAAGATGATTTTTTGACACATAATAAAAAGGGGCTGTTTTCAAAACATATAGTGATCGACAAGTTAATTATTTTATCATTTATTTGAATTCAATAACCATGATTTATCATGTGAAAACACACTCCCATTCCGTGCTTCTTTTAAGAAGCTAGAAAAAAAGCTCGAGTTGATAATGTAGAAGAGCCTTTTCACATTGGTGTTGTACTGTCAGTGATTTGGAATATTAATTCTCTACAAATTCGATGAAGGGGGATGATTACCTTATAAAAAAGGTGATTTTGACTAATACCAGGACCAAGTATTTAATCCTTTATATTAATCATAATAAATCACTTCCGATAATTCCTTGTATGACCATGTTGTAAGATTTGTAATTGATTTGCGATATTTAGTTAATTGAGGATTTATGAATGATTTTTATTTATTTACTTTCATTGTTATAATTGTAACATTATGTCGTTTGAAATTTATCTTTTAGGGTCTTATGCTAAATTGAAGCACATAGAGTTCTTGAGCTACAATAAATATATATAAAAGAAATTGTCAAAGCATGATAAATATGTTAGATATTAGTTGAAATTTTAGTCTAAGTATGAGTTTTTGATAAAAAAATGATAAAAAAGAATTTGTGTCTATAATCCTTATTGAACTAGTCTATTATAATTTTTTTTTATTAGATTATGATAGCTAAATGCTGTAATCTTTCTATAAATAAGGTCTGTGTATTCAGAATTTAAAAAGTGTTAAACCAATTAATAAAAGATTGGGAGATTAAATATTTACATGCTTAATGTTTTTAATAATTGGTATCAGCAATTGATATCAAAGCTTGGAAGAAAATGAGAAAAGCCTGAAAGGTTAAATGCTTATTGTTTAGTGTTTTAAACCATTGGTATAAGAGCTTTTCAACAGGAAGTTCCCATCAATTTTTTAGTTATATGTTAATTTTTTTTAACAGTGAGGAAAATTTTACAAAAAGAATCAAAGAATCTGCTTAAAAAAAGGCAGGAGACGAAGAACTGAGCCAAATCTAATGAGTTTTCTTATAAAAAAAAAGAGTTGACCAATTATAAAGGGATAATTTCTTATTTAAAGGGTATTTTAGTAACCATAAAGGAAAACGAAATAAAACAAAATCTCAAAAAATGAACTTACTGGTCAGTGAGAATTTAGACAAAACTCATTCTTTATTACCATCTATGTTAGGATATATGTATATTATTGAATTTAGTTCCAACTTCTTTTAATTTATTGCATTTATGGATAATGCTGTGATCTCTCTCCTACAGGCGGGATCTAACCAGCTAGAAATTGCGCAACGTGTTATGTTTTCTCCAAATGCCAATTCGGATGGTAGGGTTCCATCCGAGGATGGCATCGTTGAATTGAAACATCGTTCTAAGATTTCGTTTAAGCAGATTGAAGTTTTATGCAAAATCTTGACAGGATAAGAAGCTTGAAAGGTACCATCCATTGTTTTTTCGCTTAAAACTATTATCGAGCGTGCATTTTATTCCAAAAGTTGAACTTGCGTGATGTCATTTATGCATGCGAGTATATTTATATGTTTTTAGTGGTGATTTAAGTTCAAAATTGTTTAGTAGTAAACTGCAGAGTGAGAGATTGTAGTCTTCAATCTGTGAAGATCATTAAAAAAACGAATTTAATGCTCAGAACCAATCTCCTAACTATATATTGTAGACTTTCCGAATCTGTAGAACCTCCTCTCATATTTTGCATCTTGGTGACTTTGGATCAACATTCCAGGTCCCATTCCGTGTGTCTCATTCTTGATCTTGACAAGCTAATTCATTTTTGTCCAACGAATCTTAGTCCACTCTTGGTTTATCAAGGTGGATTCAAATCCTCCCAGGTCATGTTCTTTGAATATAAACGTTGATTTTCGGTTAGAATTTCTATTCATGCTAGGTAATTGGTTTTTAATATGTTTAGTTTTGTATCGTTGTATAAAATCCCAACTATTGAATTGTTGATTTTGAATTCTAAAATCTAGATTAATAAACATGTTATATCTTCTTTGTTCTCATTTTTTTTTCCTTCTAGATCCTTAATTTTTGATATGGTATTTGAGAAACATGGTTTTTTTTAACAATTATCCGTGTTGAAAGCAAACTAGATTTTGATTATGAAAAATAGAGGAATTGGTTTACCAGTTAAGAACCGGTCGACTGGCTAGAATAAGTTGAATCGGTCAACCGGTTCAGTCAGTATAATACTTTTCCTCTTCATATTAGGATTTTTTAATATTATTTTAATTTTTTAATTATCTAGGATTTTATGCCTATAAAAAGTCTTATAATTCAGCATTATAGATAAGTACAAAAGGAGAGAGAATGACTAAGAGGAGCTTAAAAAGATATACTTAATAAAAGTATATCTTCCTCTTAATCTTCTTGTTCTTGAGTTTTTGACTTTGCAATATTGTTTTTGATCTTTTACAACACTTATCTTCCTTTCAACTAGTTGTATCAGAGCTAGTTTTGGTTATTTAACATTGTGAATCGAAACATCTCAATTCAATGTCCTAAGTTGACAAAAGATAACTATGAAATTTGGTATATTCGAGTTAAGTTACAAAGATGTATGAGAGATGGTTGAAAAAGATTTTGAAGAGTCTATAGATGGAGTAATGTTGACTTCATTCTAAAGGGAGGTCGTGTAAAAGGCATGAAAGAAGGATTAACAAGCACTAACAATCATTTACTAATATCTAAATTGTGCTACTTTTGAGAGTGGCCAATATAACCAATGCCAAACAAGCATGTGAAGTTTTTCAAGAATCAAACCAAGGAGCAGATAATGTGATAAAGTTACATCTACAAAAGCTAAGTGATGATTTTGAAAAGTTACATATGCTAGAATCAAAGAATATTTCATAATATTTTGGAAGAGTTTGACCATATACAATCAAATGAAGAGAGTGAGGAAATGATGGAAGAGACTTGTGGTAGACAAGATCATACGCTCGCTACAAAAGAAGTTTCATTATATAGTGGTCGCGATAGAGGAGTTGCAAAATATGAATTTTTTTTTCAATTCAATGTCTCATGGGAAAATTATAAGCTCATAAGGAAAGAGTCAATGAGATTCAAGAACATGTGAGTGCAAAAGCATTTGTTTTAAAGCAAGATGTTTCTGGATATTCCCGAAGGAGTAAAGGACATGAAAAAAGCAAAGGAAAAGGAGAGGTAAATTTGGAAAAGGAGGTTGTGGCAGCCTCATAGGTTAACTAGTCAAAAGTAAATACTCTGGTTGAGTGTAGAGTAAAGATGTCAAAGAATAATATAGGAGAGAAGATGAACTCTACAAGATTCAAGAGTTTAGTTGGGAGTTTAAGATATTTAACATGTAATTGTTCAAATATTCTTTTTAATTTTTTCTTTTTAATCTTTTTAAAGTAGGACTTGTAAGTACATTTATGGAGACACCAACTATGACACATTTCAGAGCATCAAAGCGAATTATTCGGTATATCGAAGGTATTGTTGATTTTGACTTGTTTTATAGTTGTTCTAATAACTTTGAACTTGTGGGTTATAGTGATAGTGATTGGACTGGAGATATAAATGATAAAAAGAGCACCACGGGTTTTTTTTTCTTTTTACATAGGAGACACAACATTCACATGGAATTCAAAGAAATAATTTATAGTCACTTTGTTGATATGTGAAATTGAGCATGTAGCTACTACATTATGTGTTTGTCATTTTATATGGCTAAGAAAGAATTGTGAATGCCAACAAAGAAGCTTCCTGAAATTTATGTTGACAACTCATCAACTATTACATTAGTAAAGAATCTAGTATTTCATGATAGAAGTAAGTATATTGACACAAAATTTCATTACCTATGAGATTGCATTGCAAATAAGGAAATTGAAATCAAGTATGTGAAGACACAAGATCAAGTTGTGGTTATATTCATAAAACCCCTCAAATATGATTTTTTTTTTTCAAGATGAGAGATATATTGGGAGTTATGAAGAAATCAAGTTTAAAGAGAAGTGAAAGTAAACCAGGTTTCGGTTCTGAAAAACAGAAGAACCAGTCTATCGGTTGAGAACCTCTTGACTTGCTGGAATAAGCTGAATTGGTTGATCAATTCAATCGGTAGAATCCTATTCCTATTCATATCAGGATTTTCTTATATTAGTCTAATTCATTGATTGTCTAGGACTTTATGCTTATGAAAAGACTTCTAATTCAGTGCTATAAACAAATACAAAAGGAGAGAGGATAACTAAGAGAGCTGATAGAGAAACATTTAATAAAAATATACCTTCCTCACAATCTTCTTCTTGTTCTTGAATTTTTGACTTTGCATTAATGTTTTTGATATTATACCACACCTATCTTTGTTCCAACACTTTGATCCAACAAATTAAATAAATTACCCCCCACACTTTATCTTTATCCATACACAAATACTCAACATAGTCACTTTCCTCTTTGATCTATTCTTTGTACTCCTTTGTAACTGATTCCGTAAGAGTCTACTCATGAGTTTCTTCTACTGCTAGAGCCACACCTTCGTTTGGTATATCTTTTGTTGGTTCTTTCATAACCTCCTTGGTTAGGCTCCTCCTTTGTTTCAATGATCAAAGCACATATGGTGGTTGGAAGTGGCTCCTCCGGTAGCAATGGCGAAGGGGGACAAATATGAAGCAGAAGAAGATTGTGTTTTGTGGTAAAAAGTTTTGCAATCGACCCCTAGATTATTACTGTCTAGTTTGCCGTTATTGATATCTTAGGCAATTAACCCCAAGATTGCGGATGTCTAGTTTGTCTTCTTGATGAAGACTTTTTAGAGTGCGATGATTTCTCCCCTGTAGGTTAAAACCAGTTGATTGATGTCGCATTTTGCCAAGATTTTAGGTTATTTATGTTACCGCCTTGCTTCGACAATTGATCCCCAGATTATTGTCATTCAGTTTGTCGTTGATGTTTTCAACAATCAACCCATGGATTGTTGCTATCCAGTTTGTCATTGATACTTTTAGCAATTGATCCCTGCATGTTCTATTTTTCCATTCTTACTTCTTCATCAATCAACTCCTAGATAATGTTATCAAATTTCTTATTGATATTTTATTTTTGATAATGAAAGTAGTGATATATTGTACAGCTCTCTTAGCAAGTTGGGCAAATAAGATATCCATGCACCAACTTAGAAGAGTGTTAGAATGAGTTGCCAAATATTGTAAGGATGTGAATTCCATATATTAGAAATACTAGATAACCATAAACTTTGATTCTAATCTAAAGATCAACATGTAATTAAGACCTAATTACTACCATGCAACCTCTAAATTTTATTCCTTTGAATCAATAAAATAAGTTCTTTCCATAGATGTAGTGTCTATATTAAACTGTGAATTTACAACCTTACCTGCTATACTTAATTAATTCTCCTTCTTTTCTTTGTATTTTTTTTTAATTCTAGATCATTAATTTTTTACACAAATAGCACAAAGCAGGAGAGCTATTAGCGTTCAATTTTGCTAGTTAGATTGTGCCAAATTGGTAATTGGTTGACGATTCCATTCGTGTGATTGATTTATAAATCTTAAGCTAATTTTATCATTGAATGGTAAAGATATAAGGTAATCTGGAACCATAACTACGCTATATTTTTTAATAAAATTTATTGTGCCAATATCTACCCTAAAAAAAGACTTGTAATCATTTAAATAGGTTTATCTCAATTTCAACCAAAAAAAGAATTCATCATCATAGAGATAAGTTAGAATTCAAAATCCAAATTAAATAGAAAAATAATAAAACTGGAAAAAAAGAAGAAGTTATCTTCTAGACGTGATTTAAAAACCATTTAGACTAGACTTTGGATGGTTATAGCAAGTCAGACCATCATAAAACGAAGCTTATAGATCTTATTAAGGTAAAATCTCAGTATGATTTAATAATCAAGTCAAAAGTTAAACGTATCTCTTTATCATTACACTCAACAAGAATTATGTTTTAAGATATTAAACAAATTGGTATCAAACTCAAGTTTGAGCAAACGAACTTAAAACTGTCTTATGCAATTTAATAATCAAATCAAAAGTTATCCGTATTTCTTTATCATTACACTCAACAAGAATTAATTGTGTTTTAAAATAGTAAACAAATTGGTATCAAACTTAAGTTTGAGCAAACGAACTTAAAACTGTCTTTATATTGGAATTTTAGGTCGAAGACAATTCAAATGTTTATGAGTTGAATTGAGGCTTGGATATTTTCTACTCATGAGTTTGTGCTGTCATGTGTTTTGGGTTCGACATCAATAAACTTTGTTAACTTGCTATTTGCTAGTTGTTGCGTCGACTTGTGTTGTGCCCCTTTAGTCTACCAAAGTTTCGTACGTAGAAACTTGGAGTAAAATGTTGTTGGTTGATTTTTCACTTTGTTGATATCGATGTGCTCTTTAGATAAATGGACAAGCTTTGCTGCATGTTATCAAATAACATTTTATATTAACTCGTAACATATTTTCTGGAATGAAGTTCTTTTGGACTTGAAATTTGTGTGTATATTTATAAGCAAAAACTTAAGAGATAGATTGAAACTTGTTTGAATTCATTATCATATATATTGAATGTTTTTAATTTAATCATGAGAATGAGAATAAAAAGATTTGAATTTATAATTATTTGGTTATTAAAACTATAATACTATATCAAAAAATTATTTCATTTTAAATATTTAAATTGTTAGGAGAGGTTGTAGAATGGTTGCATACTAACTCTCTAACGTTTCATTTTAGTATATCTAATGTTCCCATCTCCTACACTAGTTCTTCTGTGTTGCCGATGTATGAATTATGCTCCTACGTATTAGATTTGTCCTCCATTGATCATTCCTTCAAGATGTATTTTTTTCCTAGAAAACAGCAGGCTTTCCTGCTGTTACTTGAAGCTATACGGTTTTTGTCCATATTATATATTTCTTCACTTATCGTTCATTGCAATTAACCATACCAAAACAACTTAATCCTAAATTTTCAAGAATTTTCAGAGAACATAATGATGGGTTTTATATTTTTAGTAACACAACTCGGAGTGATAGTTATCTGGCATTAAGTACCATGCATCATGTCCAACTTCCTTAGAAATTTAATATAAAAATATTCTTGAAATCTTGTCTCCTAACTTGAATTTTTTAATTGATATAATTTTTTGATATGATATTAAAACTTTCAAAACTAATATGTTATGAGTCAATGTCTTTTTTCTACCTATACTAAAAGTCCCTACCTTGTGTTAAAATCAATTTGTAAATTAATTTTGTTATATCCTATACTATTTTAAGAAGCTCTCAAACTTAAATAACCCAAACCAAGAGATCATGAAGATCAAAACTAAACTTCTTTTATTGTAACAAATTTTAGTGAATGATATGCTACATTACTTAATGTGAGTCAAAGCATCAATCTTTTTTCATGCTTCCGTGTTTCCTTCGTTTTGCTTGTGAAATTAAAATCTATTTAAGGGTTTCCTATTTAATAACGATGCTTATGATCATGCAGGAGATTTGCTGAGGCATCCGGAATCCGGAATGAAGATGGCGGTTGTTTGCTGCCCGGATCGACGATATGTTTCCCGCCTTTCCCCTTATTATATCTTCAGTCAATTCATGTGATGAAACATGACATCCCAAATAATGAATTTCCCATTCTGTTGTTGAATCTCGTCGCTCTGTGGAAGACAGGACTTGTAAACTTTGAGTGCATTTACATTTGCGTAGCTTATTATTATGTTTGAATTGGTTTTTATCTTTTTTTTACTTGCAGGTCAATTGTTTTAGGAAAGATTATACTTGTTGGTTGTGCAAAAAATCATATCAGTTATTTAATTTGTTTTTTTTATTCAGTCTCCAATCTTTTATTTGTAATTTTTTCTATTTATATTAATTATTTCTAATTGAATTTTATTTTTTATTTCATTTTTGATCATTTGATTTTTAAAATTTATTTTTGATTCTTATTTTTTTAATTATTATTTGTTTTTTTAATTATTTTCTTGATTGATTTATATTTTTACAATTCCACCTCTGGGAATTTATTTTCATTTAATTTTGTGTCAAATTTAGTTATGCTTCTTTTAATTGTTATTTTTTAATTAATTTTTTAATGAATTGATTTTTTACAATTTCATTGCTGAATATTTAATTTCATTTGATTTTTTTAGTGAAATTTGGAGATTCTTTATTGGCAAAATCAATAACTTTTAATAGGGGGTTATAATAAAATATTAGGCTTGATATTTTATTAAATATATATGTATTTGAACTCAACATGTATCTGAACTCAACATGTATCTGAACTAAAAAATATTGAGTATAATATTTTACTAAATCCATATACATTTAACTCATAACTTAACAAAAAAAGATTGGATTTAACACCTTGTCAGGATCTTGTATACCTAGACTTAATGTGTAGTTAAACAAAAAAATAGTAGGTTTTTAAATAAACCAAGCTTAAATATGTTGAGTTGTTATCCTATATTTTAATCATAGGCTTTTAAGCAAAGAAATCAAAAATAAATTGATCCATCAATAATATTCTATACATCAACATTTTTCGAATAATTATGTATGAAACTAATCTTGGTTGGTTTTTTTCCTTTCCTTTGGTTGATAGTAAATTAATGAATAGTAGTAGCACCTGTTAAAGGAATACAAACAAATAGAGACTATCCAGCGGTGACGATAATTATGTTATAATTAATGCTAATTATTAAAAGAAAATGATAACTAAGAGTAAATATCATTATTACTATTTAACTTGTAATCTTGTATATTTTGCGTACTTTCGTAATTAGTTTAATATCAAAAGTCCTCAAAAGAGGATTTAATATATGAAATTATCTATTTCTAAAACAGTAATACGGAACATTAAATGATCCCATTAAAAGACATTTTTGGATCCACCATTTTAATTGGTAATTAATTAATTAATTAGAAAAAAAATATTTTATATGAATCAAAAAATCAACAAATTATAGGTGGAAGTTTTTAATTTCATGTTTTGATTGATATAAGTTAGGTACTTGGTCCCTATTCTCAACACACATGTGTTAGTAAGCACATAATTTAGGTTGCGTGATTTTGTAATGTGAAATGGTGCAGTTTATATTTGTCTTTGATTTAAGAATATTTAATTAATTAATAGACAATACAATACAATTGTGTATAAATCTTACTAAAAGATTTTTTTAAAAAAATCTCTATTAAAAAAAACTATAATTTATAATTTTTCTTAAATTCACTTTTTCAAACTAAGAAAATCCAAAACAATGTTAAACACGCAATTAAGGTCAAATACATTTGTTTATTTTCTTTTTATTTGAACTGATAGGATCTACAGCTAATAACAATTTATTTTCATCAAACGGCACGTAATAAATAAACGGTTCCTTACGTCACCGTGGAAGACACGTAACCTGTGGAACTGGTCCCATGACGTGCCCTTTTATGACATCATCTCGTTCCAAAGTAATGGGAGCGTCGGAG